GGCCAGGTTGGAGAAAGAAAGGGAGGGAAAGAGAGGGAGAGGGAAAGAATGAGAGAGATAGGGCGGGACTGAGAGGGAGGGAGATAAATAGCGAGAGGGAGATACAAGGAGAGATAAAGGAGGGATGGAGAGAGAGGGAGGGAGAATGAGAAGGATGGATGGGAAGAGAGGGAGAAAGGGAAGGAGGGACAATGATAAAGGAAATGGAAAAAGAGGGAGGGAGAGAGAGAGAGGGTGAGAGAAATGGGTGAAACACTTTGTACTATAAATGTAGGTGTCTCAGTCGTAAAATAAACATTGTCCGTGATGGCAATGATGGTGATGATAGTGGTAGTGACCAACCGGATACTGATAACAATGATGATGATGACGACTGGTATGATGGTTGCGATGACGAAGAAGAAGACGAAGACAGTGATGATAACGATGGCGACGAATATGATGACGAGGAAGATGACGAAGATAGTACTGATAGTGATGATAGTGATGGAATTGACGAAGAAGACGAGGACGAAGAAAGTGATGATTGTGAGGAAACCGATGAAGAAAATGAAGACGATGACTATGATGAGACGAACGAATTGTCTGATGGTTGTGATGAAGAAGGAGACAAGGACGAGAGTCATGATGATGTTGATGAGAAAAATGAAGAATACATGAGTGATGATGTTGATGATATTCGGAATGATGCATCGGCAGTGAAAACCGAATGTTCTGCTGATCATCAGCCCAAACGTCCATTGGGAAAAAGACTATATCTCAACTATGATTTCCATGGAACATCACAAAATATTGTGGATGGTATCTTTGTTAAAGCTCCCCCTAAAGGGATTTGCATAAAACGTAGGCTCTTTACTTCAGATTCTGAAATTGATAATGGTGATGAATGTTCCAACGACTCCTCTTCAAATACAGCTATGATGTCTCAAGAGATTCAAGCGTTTCCAATAAAAGTCATACATCTAACCGATGGTCCGTGTGAGTTTGAGATTAATGTTAAAGTTTTGAGAGTTTGGACTCATAGTTTGCACCCATCTGAAAAGCGTCTCGAGGCTGTGCTATGTGATGACCTGGTTTGTTTACTATATAGTCCAGTTTTTTTCAGGAAAGGGCAATACTCAGTCCACGGAATCAGGATGTCGACGTTATCAATGAATTCATGCTATCAGAACTCAAAGGTCTTCGTTATATGATTTCTCACAATTCCGTTTAATACGTATTTATGTTATAAAATATATCAGTACTAACATAGTTTGAATTGTTTTTATTAGGTGAGGAACATGAATACCTTAGTGCCGATAGCATTGATACTTCAGACACAAGCAAAATAGACGAAGTCGTCTATACACAGGAGTATCTTAATAGTATAAAGGTATCAGGACTGCCAAATCATTCTCTCAAGTTAAAGATAGGAGCTCCAATAATGTTGCTTAGAAATATTGATCCAAAGGGTGGTTTGTGTAATGGTACGAGGTTGCTTATTACTCGGTTAGCTAGGCATGTAATCGAGGCAAGCCATATAGCCGGGAAGAAAATAGGAAAAAAGGTTATCATACTTAGAATGTTTGTATCACCACCAGAAGCAAGGTTTCCTTTTAGAATGCGCTGGAGGCAGTTTCCAATTACCATAGCTTTTGCTATGACTATAAACAAAAGTCAGGGTCAGACTCTACAAAAGGTGGGATTATATTTGCCAAAACCAGTGTTCTCGCATGGTCAACTTTATGTCGCCTTGTCTAGAGTTACATCAGCCAAGGGTTGAAGATTCTTATTACAGATAAGAATGGCAAAACACAAAAGAAGACAATGAATGTTGTTTACAAAGACGTGTTTGAAAACATTTATCGAAATTCGCGGTTGGTTTGAATAGTTTGTTTTGTTTGCTACTAAAAGTATGTTTAGATTACATTGGATATTAGTTATGATATTTTGGTGGTCATTGGTATTTTTAAACTGTTTTATCTTTTAAATTTTGTTATATTAAACTGATTTATCTTTTGGATCTTCTTATATTATGAATTAGTGTTGACTATGATAACGTTTTGCATAGCTCTGTTTGTTTGAACTAAAAAATTAGTACATGATCAGTTGTTATAATATGCTTTTTTAAGTATATATATTTAACATTATACAAATCAATTTATAAGCTTCCAATTATGGTTTGAATATTACATTTTAAACTCAACAAACTTTCAAAATATGGTTAGAATATTAATTTTAAACACACAAAAAACTGTTCAAAATGTGGTTTAAGTATTATATTCAAAACAAAAAAACTTTTGAAAAACATCAGCCGCGCAGGGCGCGGACCAGCCACCTAGTAATACTAGAAAAAATAAATCGATAGAAACAAATTATATATAAACAGAATTTTTTAATCACTTATTAGAAAATTATTTATAAATAAAACAAAAACACAAATTATATTACAAAATTTAATAAATTAAAAATAGTTCATGTGCGGGTGCACAAGTAAAATCTAGTTTTGCTTTAAATTCTATTTTAGAGTGAGATTTAGAGTAAAGTGCAAATAGTTTTAGAAGTTGGTTCTATTTTTCAATATTTGTTTTTTTAATAAAAGAATAGTAGAGAAACGGATTTTTTCAAGTCTTGACAAAAATGTTCAGTATGCTTTTAAAAAAGCATCAAACTTCATTATTTGCATAGACATCAACCCAGTTCATAGTTTAACATTTAAGTATTTAAGAGTATTTTAGAAGGATGTTCGTAAATTTCATAGAAATATTGGTTTTTGAATAGAAACTAGAAATAACACACTTATTCTGCATTTATTTTACATATAGGACCATCTGCTTTTTTTTTCCTTATTCACACTTTTTAAAGAACACAGAAAAAGATTAATATAAAAACTAGTGAATTTTTCCACGCCTTGCACGAACTAATATAATTTTTTATTTGATTATTTGAAAATTTAATAATAGTAATTTGAATTTATTTATTTTCTATTCTATATTGTTGAGTATATTTATTTGTTAGATTTCTTTGCATTTAATGTTTGAAGACATCATGCGGACTATAAATACCATTGTTGTCTTTTTTTTTTGTCCATTGGGCTGATATGTTTTTGAATGAAGATACAATATATATATATATATATATATTCACAATAATCATAAAACAAAAAACATAATGATTTAAAGTATCCAACTAACTTATTCATAGAAGAAGAAAAAAGTTAAACAATTTTGAAGGATGTGAGAGAATTAGAAAGAAGTCGTGTACATATTTGAACTAAAACATTTGAAGTCGAAAACCCTAATCTAGATATCACAAATTTCATTCCATTAGACATTCCATTTATAGATTTTTACTAAATATCAGTTTTATAAAATTTTAGAAACGGTTTGATTGACAACAGAATGAAACATTAAATCACAATAATTTATAGTGGTTTGTTTTATGTTATTTTAACATATCATCAGATAAGAACCAATTAAAAAATGACATGTAATAATAAAATAGGATCAAAAGATCTTTTTTCAGCGAAAACTCATTCTAGAGCTAACACATAAGCAAAATATTATGAAACCCGCTGTGGAGCCGACACCTAAGCAAATCACTACACAAATCTAACATTTGATTTGCTAAGGATTTTTCATTCTATATTTTCTTTATTCAATTTATTATAAAATTTACTAATGTGTAATGGTGAAGGTAACAAACCATTCAATAAAATATAAAAGAAAACAAACTGTTATTACTACTAAACCGTCTCAGTTGGGTTTTTGCCGGTTCACCGGGTTTGAACAAATTTTTCTAGGTTTGAACGGTTTAATAGCATCTCGATTTTTCAACAAAAACCAACATGAAATTTTTTCGAGTCGCGGTTCAACCGTTCGGACCGCTCGATCCGGTCCAGGTTTGAAAACATTGTATTAAACCACAATAATTTAGAACGGTTTATTTTAAGTTATTTAAACACATCATCAGATAAGAACCAATCAAAAAATAAAACATAATTAAAAAAAAGTTAAAAGATCTTTTTGCAGCCGAAACTCATTCTGGAGTTGACACATAAGCAAACATTTTGAAATTCGCTGTGGAGCCGACACCTAAGCAAATCACTACACAAATAAGTATATAGATAGATGGTTAGTCATAAAAAAAAGTTACATAGAAAAAAGCGCCTTTAAAAGTTCTAAAAATCGTATATTTCACACATATCTACATGCAGTTTTGATATATTTTAAATAAATTTTAAGTAAATCCCTCTAATTCACCTTGGAGATATTGAAAAGAAATGATTTATTATGCTAGCATCATTAACCAACCATTAGTCACACTTAATAATTGACCTTGATCCAATGCTCATATTTTTTTTTTTTGTTTATTGATTTGTCTTTATGCATCTTGTATATTTTTGCTATTTTACATTCTCTTTCCAATTAGGTTTTAATATTATAATCTTCATCACTTGATTGATTTAGACTATATAGTTTCTTGCATTTTTGATGTGCTTAACCTCTCTTTGAAGATTTGATCCTAGTTTGTTCATGACTTGCCTTGCACTTCAAGTAGAGTATCTTAAAATCTAAATTTTAAATTCGCATCAATGTTGTTCAATTTAAAGTTTTATAAGTTCTGATTGGTAGTCACCAATCACGGTGGTTGGAGACGACCAGCTCCAGTGGCCACTAATTAGGAAAGCGGTTTTATATAGATACGCGATGTGATATCCTAAAAATAAGAAAAGCAGAAATCCTTAAAGTCGAGGAGAAGAAAGAAAGCCCCAAATGTAAGTAAGAGTAATTTAATCATTTATTCTCCATCCTAGACCCAAAGAGCTCGATCCCTTCCCTATATAAAGGCCAGCCATTTTTTTTTTAGAGCCACACAGAGTTAATGCAGTGAAATTCGATAAAAACCTCTGCAGCATCAGTTTAAAATTTGTCCGAGTAATAGTTTTCCTGAGTCGTTTGCCAATAACTCTGTTCGAGCTAGGTATCGATATTTATACCTCTGGAAAGATCTCGCTGCAAGGAATCCGTAACAGTCTGTAGATCATAAGTCCGAGTTAAGCTTCATTTTTTAAGCGAGCTCAAAGTTGGTAAAAAATTATTATTTTTGCAAACCCAGAAAGTTCTGCAGATCTGATTTTTTTTCCAGTTTCGCAGAGCCAACTTGAGAGAGGTTTTGCCGTCGATCCAGAAGGACCCAGATAGGATTCCACATATCGATCTGTAGATCTCGGATCCTTTTTTCCAGATCAACTTTCAGATCCAGTTTACGAAGTAAATTGCGAAAGTTATAGCTGTACCTTCTCGGCCTAGAAACAGCCTGGACTTGCAAATCTGAAACCCTAGTTTTTATGTTATGTGTATCACAGGGGGAAAATAACCAAAACCTAACTGAATTAAATTTCATGGGCCAAAAAAAATCCGGACTAAAATACGGTGCCAATTACTATCTGTTATACATAAAAATTCAAATTTGCAACCTGAACTCTAATATATATGTCAAAATCTAACTTGACTAATTTTAGCGTTAGTCAACCGTTAATAAAACGCTGACGAGGCATTACAGAGTATGACTTGGCACGCCATGTTGTCACTTTGCTAAAACGCTGTCGTTTTTATTGTTTCAAAAATAAAAAAAAATTGCTTCTCCATGGCTTCGAACCCACGACATCAAAAACCGTGTACCAGCGAGTAACCAATTGAGCAGTGAAACATTGTTTATTTTTAGTACAAACATTATTATATATTAGCGCTGAGATTTTCCAATTCCACCTCTGGCCATTAAAACCCTCTGTTTCTTTTTCTCTTTTGCTATATCTTGCTTCTCTTCCTCCACTAAAGCCGTCGTTGCCTTTACTCCGACCAGACCAGAGTTCGACGGCTCCTAAACCCGGATAGTCCTCCTCCCAATTTTCCAGCAAACGATGATAAATCTAAGTAAAACTGTTTCGCGACAAGACTAACCACATGTGTCTTCGTGAAATCAAGTTTTGATGGAGATGGATTGATTGTATAGCAAAACGAAGTTGGGCCCATCTCAATTTCGCTCCAGGGAGAAGAGAAAAAAAAACCATTTGAAGAAGAAGAAGACAGGTGGCATCACCACTGCGATACACTTCGTCTCGCCTACAAATATCGTTTCTTATGTAGACATCTCTCTTCTCTCTCCCATTAGAATTTCATGTAATAAACTCAATAAATATTTATATTCAGTTATTCGAGTGTGGTTGTAGAATGGTATGTAGGTTTCGGAGGTTACAGTCCCCAGAAAGAATAGCAACTCCACCTTTTTCATCAAAACTTAGACGGAAACGAAGCATTCTCCGTATGAAAGAACATATTAATAATATATA